TTCACTTGTAAGCTCAGAAGACCAGATGTCTGTCCATCCAAGCAGATATTTTGGGATGGTGAATGCTTCCGTTTCCTGTCTGCCAGTGTGTTAGGTTCTGATGTGAGAGTGTTTGCTTCCAGCATTTATCTGTCCACCGTATGCACAGCTGCGACCCATTTTTCTGCTGTGTGGAGGTGTCAGTTTTAGTATGAGCTTTCAGACACCTGCTTTATAGCTTGATGCCTCACTTTAACGCATTATATGAATGAATGAACTCTGTTTGTGCTGTTTGCTTTAAGGTTATGTTCAATCTTCAGACCTGTCAGAGTCATAGGATGAACAAACGTTTAGAAGAGCAGTGTTCATTCGGTGTCTGCTCTGCATCACAGACAGAAAGACCGTATCAGTTCGTGTTTTAAAGCAGTTGCAGTCCTTCCAGGCTCCTTTTACTCCCACAGATTGACAGCTGTCGCCCCTGAACTGTTGTAATAGCCCAGAAGGTCCATTGACATTAAAAAACAGGCACAGACAAGAGCAGCCCTGTGTCGTGTTCCCAATAGAGCTTCCTGAGTGTGACATTTCACCAAAATCAACAAGCTGTCGATAGCAATTCTCTCGATTAGAAATCTCAAAGCCGCTAAGCTCAAAGTGCTGGTCGCCTGGCATTTACTGTTCTCAGACATTTTGTTGTGTTCACATTTTCACACGGTTCAAGATTGCTCTCTCATTTCTGCTGGATTTTGTTTGATCTGGTTGTTCAAGTCAAAAACATGGCCTCGCTGAGTATGATTTGTTTCAAAATGTGTGTCTTGCATTTTATTTGTCATAATTTTGACTTTAGATTTCACATTTGCAATTTTACATTTCACATTTGCAATTGTAAGTTTATTTATTGTAGTTCTTGTATTTGCGACTTTATATTTCTCAATTTGACTTTTGTCAGTGTTATTGTAATATATTAGGGAGATGCTAGTTATAGTTTTTTATTAATATTAATAGTTTTTTTATTTTTATTAATATTTTATATATAACATATTATTTTTTTATTAATTATTAATAGTTTTTATTAATATTTTGGATTAGGTTTTGTGTTTATTTTGGTGACTTTGGGTGTTTTTTGTCATTTAAATTAGTTTTTGTATTTTTTTTAAAATATGCCTATAATTTATATTATTTTATATTATTTATATTTTAAGTTTTATTTTTTATTTAGCTATTTTACTACATCAAATGAAAATAAATGAAAATTAGAAAGTTTTTTTTATTTCATTTCAGCTAAAATTGATTCTATTGCAAGTAGGAAAATGTTTTTGTTGCTTTTGTTTTAGATAACTATATTGTTTCACAATATGACTTCACTTTAAATATGGGCTGGATACCAGCTTTTATTAAATGGATAAAAACGTACATTTTTTAATAATTTGTAAATATTTTATTTTAATAACAACAACTTTGCAATAAAATATAACAACAGTGATATTGTAAATTTTCCTTTTTTTCCTTTTAGCTCATACACTGAAAAAATTATTCACTGAATTCCACAGGTAAGTGGTTGCAATAAATTTATTTTAGCTACATTTAAATAAACAAATTTAGTTGACTAACTTTCAACATATTTTTTTTAATTAAATGTAGCTCAAATAAACTGTTTGCAACCACTTACCTTAAAAAAATGTGTATCTTTTTTTCAGTGTATTACACAAAAATGCTATTTTTTTCCAGGATCAGTCAGCTAATGTGCATGCAGCATAGCGTAGGTTTCATTTAAACATTAGGATTTTCATTTGAACCCAAACTTTAATGAGGACATCTATTTTTAATGTGACCATGTTGTGATATACTGAATGTGTTGTTTAAGAATTGGATAATTCTGACCCAAAAAAGTTGGGACTTACAGCTGCCATATTGAAAGTTTCTCCCATTTCAACAAGTGGTTCATTCTCTCTAGCATGAATACATTAGCCAAGGTTTGTATGATTTTGTGTATACACCTTGTATCAGATATTCAGCATTTACAGTATGTGTGAAACATCTAACCTGCCAGAAAGAGCAGTTTATGGAAATGTTGGGGAATTGGATGTCAGTTTGTTTTACCCAATTACACTCTTAATGATCAGTGTCATTCATCTCCAGCTGATCTCATCAAGACGCTATGCGAGCAGATAAGCAATGTTCATGGGGGACTCAGTCACTCTTGGATATATTCACGACTCTTCACGCTATGAGCTTTGTTAGGAAGCATGACTTCAGTCACAGACGCTGCTGGGTTTGGAATAGAACATTGTGTACCACACACTGTGGCAAATGTATCATCCTCAATGGAAATTGATTCAGCTTGTTTTGAACATCTCGGTTACGTGAGTCACATCACATACTGTAAAATGTGTTCTTTCAGTGTTTGACAATATGTTTTTCTTTTCTTTGTTCAGGAGAAAGAGGTTCATGGCTACTGAGCCTTTTGTTGATTTTAACCGGAAGAACCGTCTGGACAGTGTAGCAAGTGTATTTTCTTTTCTTTTTATGTCAGTGTGATATATAGTGATGTTATTTTGGTGCAGATATTGATTTAAAGACTATTTTCAACATCCAGTGACACAAGCACATAAGATATTGCTTTGCAGATCCTCTGCAGGTCTAAAGATAATTATTTCTTAATTGCTCATTTATTTTGTTTGGTTATTTAAAGGCTGATTGTCTTGCGTTCCTGTTTCCGTTTCGTATTAAAGCTAATTAAGGACACCTTTCATGAGAATTAACTTTGAATTAACTTTTTAAGAGTTGGTTCCCTTGAAGAAATTATGCAGTTAAACCAGGGGGTACCAATGTATGAGTGGTGTGTGACTGGACTTTTGCAGCACCATTTACCTTAAACTTTCAACAAACAACCAATATCTTGAATGATTATATACCCTTAAAAAGGTTCTTTATTGGCACTAAAAAGTTCCTTATAAACGAGGCATTTGTTGCATCCAGTGGGGACATAATTACTGATTATAATGACTTATACTGTCTTTTTATGCGTTGTGTTGCATCACGCCGCGCCGTGTAAACATAATATCATGTCTGCATTTGTGATCGGAGAAATGACAAACAACAAGTGCTACTCTACACTGCTCAAAACTCGTGTTTGAATCATCAGTGGCAAATTCTTTAAATATGAAAACGTACTTACAGACTGTGAGTCAGAACAGCCGGCATTGTAGTCTACTCTACCAGGATCAGGAAACAGTCCTCCATAAAATGCGCTGGACACATCTGAATGTTTGGGTTGAACTGTTCTGGAACAGTGTTGTAAATACAACTTAACCACTGATTTCTAGTCGTGTCCTCTTTTGGAAGGCCAAACAAAATATTTTCGCTTTCGCAACGAAACACACAGCGTCTTCACAACATGGCGGCGGCGGTGGCAGCAACAATAAATTACGCCTTTCTTCCTTTGCGTGAACATTTGGGCGGCGTTATGCAAATCTTCCCACATCGTGACGTAGACATGTGGGGGTGTGTTTAAATGAGGCATTTTAGGAGGGCGTGGACGAGTCTTAACTTTTATAAAGAATATCTCTTTGGGTTTGAGACTTTAGTCTTTGCAACTTTAGGGATCTTATCTATTCACGAACAGCTTTTAACACTCCAAAGAGAAAGGAAAAATTTAAATTGCATCATATGACCCCTTTAAAATTCATGGAACCTTTCCATTACACAACAGGTTCTTTATTGGTTCTTTATATTTTTTAAATGTTCTTTAGGGTGTACATTAAGGGAAAAAATGGTTCTTTTAAGAAATTAACACTGAAAGGTTCTTTGGGGAACCAAAAATGGTTCTTCTATGACATCACTGAACCCCCCCCCCACCCCCGCCGCCCTTGAAACCTTTATTTTAGGAGTGTATTTGCTAACTATTTATTAAAAACTACTGAAATTAAAATATTAGTCATATTAAGACACTTTTAAGGTTTAGCATTTTTATGTTGCTCCAAAAATAATACAGTTCAATCAATAATAGTAATGCAGCAAATGCATTTTGTGTGGCTTTTATTTGTCACTACTGTTTTTCACCTACTATTTTTAGTACTATTGTAGTTCTTCTCTTCACCTTTTTTCACACCTTTAGTCATCAAATCCACAGGTGTCATGATGGTTGCAGACATGAAAAAACATGTCTAAAAATGGCTCACTCACAGATCATTTCATGTTTCACCTGTTTTAAGATTCAGTCGTGACCAAATGGTGTGGTAATTTGTTTGCTTTATAAATAGTCCATTCATTTACATTAGTTTGACCCATATATGTTTAAGAACATAAAGTACTGTACGCTGTAACAGGTCAAGCATTGTATAAATCTATTTTTGTATGCTTCACCCATAATAATACTTATGATACATTTGACTTCGGGTGAGTTTCATGCATTGATAGCTGATCGATGTGGACAGTTTTATAGCACTTGTACATGGCGTTAGGTGTCAGATGAAAGGATATGCACATCTACAGGAAAGGTAATTTTTAAAACATATTCACGAAAGTTGCTATGACAACAGTGAGACTGCCATTCCCAAGCGCGAGGACACAGTTTCTGGTACCAGAAGTGCTTTGGTGTCTGCATTGATTATGGTGTAATTAGAAAATGGAATATTTCCATTTGGCATTGCGGTAGTAGAGAGTGTTAATATCATTAACTCACCTTACGTAAGCAACGAGGGGCCACATTTACACATCTGCTTTACGCATCGGCGTGTCTGTTGTGGAATTCTAGAATAGTAATTCAGCCACTTTAGTTTCATGCATTTTTGTCATGTTGCCTTTATTTGACTTATGGGTAATTCAATACTTATACAATCTAGTATTAGTTTGGAAAAGTTCATAATTATGTAACATGTAATTTACTTTCTAAGCAAAAGTTTTGAACCTTTGAGCAAGTTTTATGATTTTAAGAATTAATCTTATAATCAATTTTAACTTATAATTAATACTAATATAAATAATATTTAAAATCCTACTTTTTTATATATTTATATTTGCAGAGTCTTGGAGCCACCGGCAGATACGAAACCCATAAAAAGTAAGTGGTTTATTTTACATACATTACCTTCTAAAACTCCATGCAATTGCCAGAAATGAAAAGGGAACAGATGAAGACAGTGAGCAGATGTTGAACTAATGATGGCACTATCAATGTCATATTGTTCACAAACCTGACACACTTGAGGAAACTCAGCAATATGATGTAAGTGTAACTAAAGTTGCCTAATGAGCTCGGTATGAATGCTTTATTTATTTATTAATTAATTCAAGGCAGTAAAATTCTCTATTTCCGGTTTAAACATGTTCTAACTTCAAAAACAAGATATCAGATGGTCTTGTTATCCCAGAAGAAGTTTATACCTGTTTATTTTGTGCTGCTTCTTATCATTGTTATCCATTGTGTTTCACACTGCAATTTTTCATCTAATTAAAATGCACAGAGAAGCAAGCTATTGGTTTTATCGATATGAATCCATGGGGGGTTTATTAAGGCATAGGCACCATTACTCAGTAGCAGCCAATATCCAAGAGTGTTATATACGCTATTTTTAGAGCATAATTGGCTGTTCTGGTCACCTGTTCAGATTGAGCTTTATGAAGGTTTGCTTTGTGACATCTCAACTTGACTGAACTATCTGCATCATTTTCTGTTTGCTAATGTATTTATTCATTCATTTATACATTGCAATTTATTCATGAGCAAAAACAATGCATTTACTGATGAATACATTGACATTATAGGTCAACAAAATGGAAGGTACCACTTTCTGACACCATATTCTCAGCCTTTAATCCATTTTGTTGAAGTGAAAGGGAATTATTCTAAATATAGCACCTAGAAATTGTGCTGGGTTCTGTGGCAATTGCCAGTCTGTAACAGGTCTGCAGTTGTTTGTCATTCCTTTTGATGCAGTTTTATTTTTACAGTCAAGTATTGTATTCAGCTCAACACAATAATACATTTTCTACAATCAGAAAAGCCTCTTTTTAAACCCCTAACCTGTCATTTTGTTTGGGTAATAGTGTGTTTGCATGCACACGTCTTAATAGCTGCAGAGGGAAACTGTTTTGAATGCTTCCCCCTTGGTGAGAAACCGTGCTGCCTGCAGTCTGAATCAGTGGAGCCCATGGTATCCATTAAGAAATACGGCACTAGTAGCGTTGCTATGGAGATCAACTCAATGGAAGCCACGTTTAAGCCTCAGGAAGACATAATCAAGTCCTTTGGCTTTAGTTCCAGAGATATGTGCTGCAACAGTGTGGTGGTGATACACTGTGTTGTTTTGCAATTTAATGATTCAGATTATTTCAACTTTATTAGATAATGGCAACACTTTGGTATAGGGACCAATTCTCACTTTTAACTAGTTGCTTATTAGCATGCCTATTAATAGCATATTGGCTGTTTATTAGTACATATAAAGCACATATTCTGCATGACCATATTCTACATCCCTACTCCTTATATACTAACTATTAATAAGCAGCAAATTAGGGGTTTATTGAGACAAAAGACATAGTTAATGGTTTGTTAATAGCGAGAATTGGACATCAAGATAAAGTGTGACCAAGATAATTTTAGTTTGTTGTCTGATACTGCTGTATTCCATCATGCATCTATCAGCTTTTGTAGCAGTGCAATTATGTGAAGTTTAGTTATTAAAGTGATAGTTGACCCTAAATGAAAAATCTGTCATCATGTACTCATTTTTGTGTCTTTCCAAACCCATGTGACTTTTTTTCTTCTTTGGATCACAAAAGTAATAGTTTAGAACAGGGGTGCCCAATCCTGCTCCTGGTGATCGACTGTCCTGAAAAGTTCAGCTCCAACCCTAATCAAACACACCTGCCTTTAATTTTCAAGTGATCCTGAAGACCTTAATTAGTTGCTTCAGGTGTGTTTGATTAGGGTTGGAGCTGAACTTTTCAGGACAGTCGATCGCCAGGAGCAGGATTGGGCACCCCTGGTTTAGAAGAATGTTTCGGTTGCTCTTTTCCATACAATGCAAGTAGATGGGAACTACGACCTGCCAAGCTCCAAAAAGTGCAAAAAGCACCATAAAATCCTAATAAAGAAGTCCACACTACCTGTGCAATATATTTCTTGACATCTGAAGCCACAGATTGAAATTTAAAGGAATAGGTCAGCCAAAAATGAAAATGTGATGAACTCACCAATCAATCATCTGCAGTGAATGGGTGCCGTCAGAATAAGTTCAAGCAGCTGATAAAAAATGATCTAATAATCACAATAATCTAAAAGTAATCCACACAACTCCAGTCATCAATTAACGTCTTTTGAAGTATAAAGCTATGTGTTTGTAAAAAAAAATAAAATAATAAAGGCTGTCACCAAAAATATAAGACTATAATGCATAATAACAAATAAAACCCTCCAGTAAAAAAGTCCATCCCCTTTTGTCCTCTCACATCAACATATTTGTTTACAACTTTTTGAACTGTTTTTGCTTGATCTGTTCATTTCTCTCCTGATTCAAATAAGATGACTTTCTCACTGGAGAAAGCAATATTATGATTAGAGGACTCTTATTAAGCCAGAAACAATGGTTTAAAGTTATAAATGTCTTAATGATACATTTGTTTTTTACAAACAAGCAGTTTTTCATTTCACAAGATCTAAATTGATGGACTGGAGTCGTGTGGATTACTTGCAGATCATTCTGATGTTTTTATCAGCTGTTTGGACTCTCAATCTGATGGCACCCATTCACTGCAGAGCAAATTATGTAATGTTAAATTTCTCCAAATCTGTTCTGATGAAGAATCAAAGTCATCTACATTTTGAATGGCCTGAAGGTGGGTAGGCTACATTTTCTGCAAATTTTCAGTTTTAGTTGAACTATTCCTTTAAGTTATTCACTAAAAATCTTGTTTGACAGCTGTGGTCACCATTCACTTTCATTGTATAGAGAAGAAGAGCTTGAACTCCTTTTGTGTTCCACAGAGAAAAGAAAGTCATACCGGTTTTGAAAGACATGAAAGCGAGTAAATACTGACAGGATTTAATACTAATAGTAGAGCATTGTACAAATTACAAATTAAGACTTTATCTTTAAAACAGCAGGTGGCTTCACAGACAAAAATAAAAGTTTGAACGTCACAATCATCTATTCGCTTCCTATGAACAATGATAACATCAGGACCAGTTGGCAGCTGCTTGATTTATGCTCGGTCAGTCGAGACAGTCTCTGGCTCACTTTTCACCGATAGATGTACCCCGCTCGTGACACGGGAGACTTTAAAGTGATGCTACCAGTCGAAACATTACTTTTGATGTCTGAATTTTGTGCCAAAAAAAGAAGAATCCAGGTTGTTTTCAAGATGAGTTGTACTTTCACTGACACAAATTGTTCTGAATTATAGTTTCGGTATATAGCCAAATTGAGGCTGACTCACACTAGCCTGGGACACAGAAATCCATGTTGCCCACACATAGAGGTAACACTCGAGTTTGTTAAGGAGGGTTACGTAAAGATCTCTTTAATGTTTATATAAGCTTTATACGACACTTGACTTTTATACGCTGAAGGATTGAATCACTGAGTCCTTAATCGTGTGCCAATAGTTTAGCTGAACAAATTTAGCCATTAAAACAGTCACAGTTTGCTAAACTAAAGTATTATTAAATTTTGTTGCCTGCAGTGGGTGCCTTCAAATTGAAGTTAGTTCACCCAAAAATTTATATTCTGTCATCATTTACTCACCCTTGTGTCGTTCCAAACTATGTCTTCTGGGGAATATAAAGGAAGATATCCATACAATGGAAGTCTGTGGGCTCCAATTTGTTGTTTGGTTCCCAATGTTCATCTTACTTCAATGCATACAGGTTTGGAACGACATGAGAGTGAGTGGAGTTTGTTTTTGTTGTTCATTTTTGGTCAAGCTATACATTTGATTAGTATTGCATTTATGACCTTAGTGTTTCTAGTGTGGTACTCTACCCATTAAGCTACACAAACATCAGCATTTTCATTTATAAAATCTTGCAGACAGTTGATAATTCACTCTCCAAGTTCTTGGAACATGATTTTGGCTCTAGTATCCACTTCCCACTTTTTCTGTTCACTGCAGTAGCTGTTTCAAGACTAATCGCCATCCTACATATGGTTTGCTCTTAGCCTGAGAAATCGTGGATTTGACTGCCAGTAAACAGTATTTTTAGTTTTTGAACAAAATGCTAATAGAAACCAAGCCTCCAAGCCCATACCCCCGATGAGATGTGCATCTCAGAGCTGTTGTCGTGGCCTTTGTTTTGCCTGCCATGCAAATGGAACACTTAGCCTTGAGCTGCTGAGAGGAGCCGCGCACAAAAGCCTGCTGAGAAGAGAGCACTTGCTCTTTCACGCCGTCGTGACTTGGTATACTGCCTTTTGATTGGCTGTGCGCTCGCTCCTCTCATAGCCCCCCTTCTGCAGGTTTCTTGTCTTTCCATGAGTCAAGAAATATCTGGAAGCAGCTGCAATGCGAGACGACTGGATCAAGTTGGAGATGACATGAGTTTAGAAGTGGTTTTGTGATAGCTACAACTTCAAATGAAGTTCCATGAGTACTCATAAAGCCGTTTCATGCTTCAAGCAATAGGAACGAAGAAGAAAGGGTGTCTTTTTTATCTCCTTCCATTTGCATCACTGGTTCTACCTGTTTTCACACCTTTCCTTTTGTACTTTTAGTCATCCTACACCTGCGCTCATGTACTGTTACTTGCTGGCCTGGTTTCCTTATTGTTTCCTTCTAGTATCACTTTTAACTTCCTCTTGACGTTAGAAAGAAACTAAGCCCTTCTTAACGGAGCCACTACATGTTGACAGAGTTATTTGTCTTGCTTTTGTAAATTTGTTTTTTTGTCCCAATGCTGCCAAACATGAGATATTGAGTTTATAAAGCGTAATGTTGCACAGAGGTATTCCTGTAGGCCACGGGCTGCAATAGCACTGTGCAAAAGTAGCAGTAAACATTCAAGAAATCCTAATTAATTCATTTATTTACTTCTTATCAGAGATTGCTTTGGGCTGAGTGCTGCACAGTGATGCTGCATTTTATTTATATATATTTTTCTAATACCCTTTCAAGGATTTCTACTGATAGGAACCGATGACACGGGTATCTCGCTGTACCATTAGTGTCAGTTTTCATTAAGCTTGTGTTCCATGAATGCTCGCATGCAAGACGACGAGAGCTTTGCTTTTAAGCTGCAGCTATGGAAACAGCTTTGTTCTGCCATCATGTAAAATGTTCTTCTGTATTTTTGCCATTATATTTGTTTCGACACAGTTCCATCTTAAAGAGGCCGACCCCTTATGGTGTCATTTCAGCATATATACTTTGAGTATTGCATGCGAGACAGTTTTAGTCCTGAAAGCATGTGTTGAGAAGTAGTTTTAAAGCATTTGTATATGAATTGATTTTTTTAATTCAAGTTTAGCTGTGTCTTAAATTGCTGTTTTCTACTGTATACAGATACAGTATATTAGGTGCTGTGTGTATATAAAACAGATTATTTTATAATACATTATATCATACTATATTTTGAAAAAATATACACTGAAAAAAATGGTAGGATTTACAATTTCACTCACTTTTACTAATTGCTAGTAAATTTCACAAATAATTCTTAAGAAATGGCAAGTAACACATTGAATTAAAAGTTACATTTTACAAGTTACAAATTACATTACATTACATTTTACATTAATTCAATATTTTTAGATTAGTAAAAAAGGCTGTAATATATACTGTAATAATGTTTTATTTTTATCAATCATTTTACAGTGCATAATACTGTTTACTAATTTATTATATAATCGTACAGTTCGCAAAACAACAAAGCAAACAACAACATTTATAGTTTTAAGAACGGTTCACGTAAAATAATGTACATATATTTACATCAGTAAATTTGATTATTAAATTTGATTATTCATTTGTTCTTTCATATAGAACGTGCTATTTGATGTACAGAGAATAGTGAATGAGTGAACAATTTTGGACACAACATTTCATTAATATTTAAATTGATTTCTTATCTAAAAGTGAGTATAAAATATTAACATTGTTTAATAGGCACTTGATCATTGTTTTTGTTTGTCAGTTGTTTGACAACAGTTGTTTTTTTGAAAGACAAGTTGAGGAACCCAGTAAATTGCAGCGTCTGTGGCTGCACGTCACAAGTTTTATGTTAGATAAGGAACAATTGAAGCTGTCTTTCATGTTGGCATATATTCATTGGCTTTAATAAAGAACACATCCCTAATTCTTTTAGCTGAATGCTGTTGTCAAATTGCAACCATTTCCATTCACCTTTTTCATCACCTTATTGTTTTCTTCTCTATATCTCCTCATTTCTTCTTTGAGGTGTCGCTCTCTTCTTAGAAGTTTTCGGTTGAATTAACACAGGATGGCATTTATGTGGTTGCACTGGAGAGGTGGGTGAGAGTGTAGTAGGAAAATGTGTCTTGTCTGTCACTTAGCTGTCAGTCCATGTGGTCGTGTGAATCATCCCCTTTTCTTTCCTCAAACTTGTCTTTATCTCCAGCTGGAATGGTTGGGTAACTTCACCCCGGCTGCACGGAGGGGATTCGTCATCAACATATCTACAACTACGGTGAAGGACTGCCATTAGCACTTCTGTGTTCAGAGACCATTTTGCATGAGAAACAAATGGCTTGAGCTATTCTCTGAGAAAATAAAGCATTCGCTAATATGCAAGTAGGTGGAGAGATAATAAGCCATATTAGTATAATATTCCTTTTTTCCCTGGGGACCCACTTCACACCATGTCACGACTATAGACAGAGTAGAATTACAATGAATCCGAGCACATCCTCCCACAGTACAACATGTTTTTTGTTTGGTGTTTTTTTTAATAGTCAAATTCAGATTTCATCTTTAAAAGCTAGTATTACTTCTAAAAAGTCTTCGAAATCTCCTCTAGTTAATGGAACTGTAATTTTCCATTGGCCGTTGGAGACAATAAAAATCGGGGCATGCTTTTGTGCACTAGGGCACTAAACACACAGTCAAGCATTCCAGCTATTAAGTCAGTATTAATGGATTAAAAGCATTACATGCAGTGATTGAGCACACATTCTCAATATTGCTTTAAAACCTAAGGGTCTTCACAAATACACAAACAACCTTTTTTCCATAATGTTCTGATCATTATTATAACAACATCAACAACGAGGGGAAATTAGGCATGTTCTAGTTTGAATATGCCTCAATTAAGTTGGAGCATTATGCATTTTGCCCTCTGGCCACATTTTATATTGAAGAGTTCAACTAGCCACAATTGAGTTTTCAACAGATTGCTTTTGTGATTCATGTTTACTGGCTCTTTTCCAAAACCTAGTGAACTGCCTTACTGCATACTGCCTATAGGCAGCTGCTTCTAAGGACACTCAGTCTCAAAAGTAACTGATTTGGGTAAAATAGTTAGAAAGTTCAAATTAAAAAGTATTTTTAAGTATATTGTATATTATAGATATACTTTTTTAGATAAAATGTATACGTATATACATTATGTATACACATACAAATGTATATACTATATACATGTATGTATATTTATATTTATAAAATAAAATGTATTGCACATATATATATAATTTGCATATTTATAATTTATGCAAAGTATCAAAGTATTATTTTTATAATTTATAAAATAATAAAATATTTACTATAATATTTAAAATTGATTGAATAGAAACTATTAATATAATTATATAATTATTAATATAATAATTTTTAAATATAGTTCTATATAAAAAATAATTAAAAATAAAATGAATTTATATTTTGTATTATTTCTATAATTTTCTTTAAATAATGACCTGTGGATTCCTCTGTTTTACAAGAATCTGATAAAAACTCAGTGGTGGCAGGTTGAGTTCCTTAGTATAAAATGCACCCAGAGGGGGGAAACATAATCTTAATAATTACACTGCCTACCTTTCGGAACAGCCCTCCTGTGATGTCTTAAAATACCGTGTAGCTAGACAGCTCACTAGGGTTTGAAGCAGCAAACATGTGCACATGGGAGGCGAATCACCTGTGGATCCAGTTCAGGTCCACTCATGACAGTCAGGATGCCAGATTGTTGTTGTGTTGGGGATTAGATGCCTGTTTCTGCAGATAAGACAGAGAATGAGACAACTAGAGTGATTATGAGAAAAGAACAACAGGTCCTCCTCCCCCCCTCCTCCCTATCTCTTGCACAGCGTGCTCTGGGCATGCTCAGTGGAATCTCGTGTTAAACGCCTGTGTGCTTTTGTTGTCTGTGTCGCTCATCCTAGCGCCTGCAGAATGCCCCTCTCTACCCCTCCCTCTCTCTTTCTCTCTCCCTCCCCCCCCTCCATATCCTCTCCTCTCCTCTCTCCTCTCACCGCACATTAGCCAGCCAACACCGCGGCGAGATGCGCGTGAAGAGGAGAGCTCCGGTGAACACCTGGTACTCCGGGCGACTCCAGAGCAGGGGTGTCTGTTTTGACCCTTTCCCTCTTCCAGTGCCCTGAATTAAACACTGTCCCACATCTTACCGGACTTTCTCTCATCAGATCTGAGAGTAGGATCTCCCGACTGGCTCAGAGACTCAACCAGAGGCAGAGCGATGCTGCGCTGATTAAGGATTTCAGACCCCTCTTCCTTCTCTCTGGCTCTCCGGGAAGCTTTCAGAGCTTGGACAGGTAAGTTGAGCATCTCTTTCGCTCTCGTCCGTCCGCAGTCACTCACTTGAAGTGTACTTTTCTGACAGTACGATTCCCCCATTAAGTGTTGCTAAAATTACCCATCACCCCCCTGCTGTGTCCCACAGGTGCTTCTCATTCATCCTGGCAGCTGTCTTTTCCTTTTTTGATTGGCTTAATTGGATTTAATAAACGTAGAGCACCGCTCCGATTCGACCTCTCATTTCGCTCGCTCGATTACTCACTGGTGTCAGAGGCTTCACTCTGGCACTGCAGAGTGCATTATTATTAGTGCTCTGAGTGGGTGTTTGCACACTCAAAACTGCGCACAAGAAAAAAAAACAGGACACTTCCTTAATGTCATGTCTGACAGGATTATAAACCACTGGGATGAGAAATACCACACAGATCCCCTACGGTTCCAGAGCTTTTAAGGAGAATGTCAATTAAGGACAAATTTGATGTCACTGCAAGATTTTGTTTTTGGAATAAAGGTGTTGGAAGGGCAGATGAGGGCTTTTAGTTCTCATATTTATTTTTGCATCAGCATTTTTTTTGCAATGTTCAGACAGCGTGTACTCATGCCAGATGTTTTGGCAAATGGAGCAGATCTTGTCTTTTTTTTAGGCATTTATATTAATTGTTTTTACACGTCATGGAGAGATTGATGGTTGATATAGAGGTGTTACTTGTCTGTGGTTACATAAACTGCAGACAACTTACTAGGCGATCAGAACAGTCTTCAAAATATTCTTTTACAAATATATACATTTTTGGGATGCAGCAAAAAAAAATTTTTTTTTAATAGGATTCTCTCAACAGCTACATTAAATTCACTGTCTGGGTTAACTGTTATTCTTAGCTCAGAATTAATTGATTTCCTGGAGGATTTCATTATAGTATAAGAACATTGAGGAGATCCTTGAAAACCAGACTATGTTGACCTGCAGTGAGAGTCACAGTCTGGCTGCCATTGTTAATAAAACTGTCTGTTATGGTTCGTGAAGCGATATCAGTTTTGACGTTGACTAGTAATGCCATGAAAATAATCTGTCAAGGTTTTTTTTATTAAATTATTTTTAAGGAATGCAGTTTATGCCTATGAAATCTCTTAGACTCATCAAAGCTTTTTTTTATTATTATTTGATCAAAAATACAGTAAAAATAGTAACAATATTGTTACAATTTAAAATAACTGTTTTCTATTTTAACATACTGTAAAGTGTAATTTATTCCTGTGAAGGCAAAGCTGAACTTTCACATGATTGTTCAGAAAGAGCTGATTTGCTGCTCAAGAAACATTTATTATCTCAGTTTAAAATAGTTGTGCTGCTTAATATTTTTTATAGAAAATGTAATTTTTTCAGGATTTTTTAAATAATTGAAATCTTTTGTAACACTGTAAATGTCTTCACTTTTAATAAATGTAATGCATTATTGCTGAATAAAAGTAATCATTTCTTTAAAAAAATAAAAATTCAGACAATAGTGTGTAGATATCAGAAAGGTTTATTTAGATGTCTCATATTTGCTTTTTTTTTTTTCAAACAATATACCTGTGCATCAGTATGCAGTTATTTTGCATGTATCTTTTTGCTTGAGCTGTAGCATTAATGACTATCCAGTGGCCATCTGTCACCAAGACACTGCTGACTCAGATATTAGTCATAAATTACATACCGAAACACATGCTGCAAATTTATTTCGAGTGCAGACCCTGATGTAACAGGCATCACACCTAAATGTGTTTTGTCTGTACTCTTTCCCTTCTCGACTCCACAGGAACTTCCCCATTAGTATGACCCAACAGATGCAGAACCTGCAGCTGACACAGAGTAAGAAGGGGGCGGGACCCGCCTCCCCCAGTGCTGCCAAGCGCCTCTACCGAAACCTCTCTGAGAAGCTCAAGGGGAGCCACTCCTCCTTTGAGGATGCCTACTTTTTTGGCCGATCCGACCGTATCCGCAAAGTCTCTGTGAGTAAAAAAAATGGGTATCAATAATTCACAATTTTTCTTATAATAAAAAGCTGACATTAGTCGACATTTACATTTATATTCTGTAGAATCAATTGATGTTAACATTCACTTGACCTTACACATGACATGTTTTAAACTGGAATGACATTTCGGGTGCTCATGAGACGTCAACGCCGTTCCATGCTCTCAGAACTTCCTCAAATGTCACTGATTATATAGAGCTAGATCTAGCAATCATCTTGTTGACTCAAGTGCCCGAATGCATCCTTCACCATTGCTGCCTCCAAATATTTTCATATATGGATTTAACTCACAATTGAAGAAGAGAAACTCAACTGCTGTGGCTGTTAGATTAGATGTATGAATTCGCATTTTAATTATTAATAATTATTGCATTCGGTGATTGGAGTACTAGTCATTTCTGTGCCTACCTTCTGGTGCATGCCTGGTTACCATGCATCTGTGCTGGTAATTGAAAGGTTTTATAGGTCAAACCCATGAGTAATCATCCATGGGCAATCTGTGCTCACGTTGTCCGTGCTGATTGTTGGTGAAAATCTGTGAATGTTTTTTTAAGTAATTGAGAGTATTTTCTGTGATCACAGTAAATGTATGCATTAACATCTATAAGTAAGCCATTAATAGCTTGATGTTCCTGAGGACCATAAACATGTCTGTGTAGTGCATTGCAAAAAAAAGTATTTGTTCAAGCATACTAACCAGTTCAATACAACAACACTGGATAAACAGATTGCATAAGTCTGTTTACTTAACTAATGATAGACAGGGGAGAATTTGAAATCCAATATAGAGTAGAATTCAATTTTTTTTGTTCAAAATATGATTATAATGATTACAAAAATAAATATATACACTACTTTTGAAATGCCTGTTGTTGGTAAGAATTTATGCTAACCAAGGCTGCATTTTTAAAATCAAAAATAAAGAAAATACTGTTAAATATTGCTACAATTTAAAATAATTTATTAAATTAAATGTAATTTAATTTATATATATTTAATATATTTTAAAATATAATTAATTCCAGACTTCAGTGTCATATGATCACCGGCAATATATTGACTTGGTGCTTAAGAAATTATTATTATCTTATTATTATCAATGTTGAAGACTGCAGCTTAATATTTTTGTGGAAACTGTGATATTTTTCTTTCGGAATTCTTTGATAATAGAATGTTCAAAAGAACAGCTTTTTTTTTTTTTTTAAATAGTATTTTTGTAACAATGTAAAGGTCTTAACTGTCATTTCTGATCAATTTAACGTGTCTTTGGTGAATAAAAGTATTAATTTATTTCAAAATAAAATATTACTGATCAAAATCCCAAATAATATTGCATATATATCTGACCCTGGACCACAAAACCAGTCATCACTGAATAAATAAGCTTTCCATTGATGTATGGTTTGTTAGGATAGGACAATATTTGGCCGAGATACAACTATTTGAAAATCTGGAAAATCGTATCTCTGAGAGTGCAAAAAAAAAAAAAATCTAAATATCAAGAAAATCACCTTTAAATTTGTCCAGATGAAGTCCTTAGCAATACATATTAATAATCAAAAATTATGTTTTGATATATTTACGGTAGGAATTTTACAAAATATCTTCATGGAACATGATCTTTACTTAATATCCTAATGATTTTTGGCATAAAATAAATCAATAATTTTGACCCATACAATGTATTTGTCACGGGCAGGGTGTAGACCAGGCAGGACGACGATGACCTCGATAGGGGATCGAGAGCCATTCCGAGGCTCGACAGGTGATCGGGAGCCATTCCTAGGCTCGACGGGATCGGGAGCGCTTCCTGGGCTAAACTGAGGATTCCTAGGTCTCTCCTCCTCGTTTTGACACTAAATTCCCACCCTGTTCTGGCCCTTATGTCCCGCCATAGTCAGCTCACCCTCAGCTATGATGTAGGGGGCGGAGCTCCTCTCCGCGCTCACACAGTCCACGGCTTGCTGTCCTGCCCTCCTGCTCCAGCAGGAGAAGGAGGAATTCGGGGCGCGTGAAGGGATCCATGGGGTAAACACAACGGAAAGAAAAACACTGAGGAAAAACCGGAAAACAAATGGAGGGGAGAACACGGAAGTTAAACTGTTTTTGGGGTCGGTTATTCTGTCATGGGCAGGGTGTACTAGAGACCAGGCAGGACGACGAAGTTGACGAATAAAAGGATATTTAATGATATGACAACAGGAGATCCAGACAGGGTAGACATCAACACACAGGGTAACATTCACAATAACCGACAAACTAGAATAGAAAGAGACAGGAACTAATATAGGGCAGATAACGAGGGGCAGACAGGTGAGCACAATGAGGTTATTAACTGATAATGAGAACAGGAACAACCAAATAAGGACACAGAGGGAAAAACCACAATCGACAGTATTGTTGGCTATTGCTACAAATATACCTGTGCTACTTAAGACTGGTTTTGTGGTCCAGGGTCACATATATCATACAAATATATATAAAAAGTGAATAGGCAACCGGTTGAGAATTTTTGCTAGATTTTTTTTAATTTTGGGCATTCAGATTACTAAGGAAATCAATTGAGCTTTTGAGCCACAAATTCTGTTCTAGCTTTCACTGCTGTTGTACAGTTGAGCAGAGATTTTAACCAAAAGGGTGCACTAGGGGGACTGTTCCTGTAGTAAGTGTTCTGCAAGTTACTGTGTGTATAAAAGTGTGTGCTAAATGACTACTTAGAGTATCATGAGTGCCACTGCTTACCTTCAACCGTTTCTTCTCCTCACAGAATATTCAGAGCAGTGAGGCTCTGTTTGAGGCTGTTGAACAGCAGGACCTGGATGCCGTGCAGATCCTGCTGTTCCAGTATACAGCTGAAGAACTGGACCTCAACACTCCCAACAGTGAAGGCCTGACACCTCTGGACATCTCCATCATGACCAACAACGTCCCCATAGCCAAACTGCTGGTCAAAGCAGGAGGGAAGGAGAGCCCTCACTGTGAGTATGCATATTTAACAGCGATGAGCTTTAAACAGTCAATCCCTCAGTGTGTCTAAAGGGCTTCTCGTGTCTAAAGTGTTTCCTTATTAAAGAGCCACTAAACCATCCTTGAAATTTACAATGTAATTTGACTGGAGTGAATCAATTAATTCATCTAGTTCTTTATGAACATTTGGCATGGGAGTTTTCACCAAAATGCCATATTATAGGTATTGCCCCATTTTTATATGAAAACATAACATTTTAAAATGCTAGTATTTTCTTAGTAAAAACCTTTTTTATAGATTTTATTTGAATTAATGTAACATGTCTTTTGTCTCCTCATTAAATGTCAGCTGTTGCATATTGCAATATAAAATATTACAAATGACAGTACTGTATACTAGTACTATACTAGAATACTAGTACTATATACATATATAGGCACACACAGACACATATACACACACACACGTATATGTGCGTATATATACAATATATATATATATATATATATATGTATGTATATGTATGTG